AGCAAGCTGAAAAGGAAACCGAGCGCCAAAAACACTCGCACAGACCGGAAGCCAACAGAAGACCAGCGCAAAACCGAGAGAAACCCGACAGAGAAGCAAGTTTTGGTGATAGGAACAATTCAATCCTTGACTTCATGGACTTTCGTCACTGTTTGGGTTTGAACCGTTTTAGTTTTTGGTGTCAAACAAACAGTTTAGACACCTTTTTTGGCCAATCTCAGGAAGTGAGCCGAACCTACATGGGCAGCGTTTTTTTTTTCTTTCTTGGAATCAAGGATTTATACAAAAAGGGAACTGCATCATGTCCGCGTAGGCAATTTAGCTGGGGGGGCGTAGGCGCGCGGAGGCATCGCGTAGGCATTTCGCGCACATCCTTGTATTTTTTCTTGCGTAGGCGCGCGCGTAGGCACTTGATGGAGTTGTTATGTATTGTCTGAAGCTTTATGTTTTACAATGCATATGGATGGGCATGGGTTTGTTCTGCAGTCTTCGCGTAGGCTCCGCGTAGGCCCCGCGTAGGCATTCGCGTAGGCTTTCAAGGCATTTTGGGTGCGTAGACCTTTTCTTGCAGCCAGATCCTTGGACAGACGTTGGATTCTTGCTTGTGCTGCACTTTTGATCTTAGAGCCGGAGCTGCCAACACTGCACTTGCACTGAAAGGTTGCGATTTTCTAGCTGGAGCTGCCACAGTGCACTTCTACACTTGAACTCAACGTTTGCCCGCGTAGGTGGGCACCTGGAAGCTGACTTGTGATCGCGTAGGCGCCCCTCGCAGGCCGCGTAGGCTTGCGTAGGCCTTCGCGTAGGCGCGCAAGTAGTGTATAGGCCCCGAACCACCAAAAAACACTGCTCAAATGCTGATTCAGGGCCACGACAAAGGGGATCCCTGGGAAATCAAACATGTTATCACGCTTTGGCGGCGCAATCATCTTCCACATCATCTGCTTCTTCTACATTATCTGCATCTGTGTCAGACAACGGTGGACTTGGCCTTGCAAAGCTCGAGCTGGAAAAAAGCGGCGCGCGAGTTTCTTGCGTAGGCGTCCGCGTAGGCGCGACAAGAGACAAACGTGCGCGCGTAGGCGCCCCTTGCAGTCGCGGAGGCGTTGCGTAGGCGCTCGCGTAGGCATGTGTGCAGTGTATAGGCCCCGAGCACCAACAAAAAACACTACCCACATGGAGTTGTGTTTTGGAAGGTTGGGAGCTGGTCGCGACACCGCGGTCTCGGTGTCAGTTTGTCAAGGGGCTGGATCCCCTGGACGGGTGCAGAATCGTTTTTTTTTTTGGGGGGGGATCCCCTTTTTCCTTCTCGGTAGCTTCTACCATTCGTGTACAAAACCGAACTTTTGAGAGCTTTTTTTAACTTTGAGCTCTGTCTTGGTGGTAGCTCTAACCACAGCTTGAAACAGACCTTTTTTGAAACACACCTTTTTTGAGACAACTCGGGCTTTTGAATCAGCTTGAAGGTTCGAAGAGACGAGAACGCCCAGGGCGCCCATTGTTCTCAGGCGCTGATTGTGGCGGGGCAATTTCACCCAATCCATTCGAGGCACGACTTGAGACATCCTGCTCTCGCTGCCGCCTTTAAGTCCTGAGTGGTTCAAAGGCTAGTCCTCATTTTTGATGGACACTATGTTTTGGGCTCACAGATCCTTGTGGTGGTTCAAACATCGCCTGTTGGTGTTGGCCGATTCGGATTTTATTGAGAGAGTAAGTCACTACTTATCCGACCCCCCACCTGTTCTTTGGACCCAACACCCAGGAACAAGTCAACAAGCGCAGGTTGGAGCTGGAGAAATCAGCTCTCCACCCTCAGATCCCAGGTCCAAGAAAAGGTCATCCTTCTTGCCATTTTCCTGAAGGGTTTTGTTGGCCCACGAAAACCCATGAAATGACCGGCTACCCCCCCCTCCCTACCCCCACCTTGCATTTTTTTGTTTTTGCGGCTGAGGTGCCTGTCATGGACCGGTGCGAGGTGCTGGTGGTGGGTGCCGGCCCGGCAGGCTGAGGGGAAAACGGAACACGGGAGGCTCCGCGGGGAAGAGCCAGAGACTTCTCAACAAATTCGCGCTGGTCCCGTGGCTCTCAGGGATCCTTCTCTAATGCCGAAAAACAATTCCCAGGACCACATGGGTTTCTAACGAACGGGTGAGAATGGGGAATCAAGCTCTGGAGCTTTGCGGGCGTTCTTTTTTCCCGTTTGCTCATGGCAAAATAATGGGGTTCTCCATCTTCGAGATCTTTTGCTCCAAAGATTGAACAACTCAGAAACCGACCGAAGACTCACTTGCCCAAAGCGAATCAACCCACAAGGTGAGCAGCTTTCATTTCTGGGTCCAGGGAGGGGTCAATTGAGAAGGCAAATAAAAGACTTCTATGCGAAACATTGCTGTTTGTTTTGCCTGCCAACATGTTTGCTTGCTTCGTCGGCTTCACTTCTTTGAGTTGCTCAAACTTTCCATCTATCCCGTTCCATCCCCATCTTATCCCATCTCATTGTGGCTCATCCCATCCCAGCCATCCTGCCTTTCTTCATCCTTTCTTCCCTTCATCCCTTTTTCCCTTTTTCCCTTCATCCCTTATCCTTTCATGCCTTCATTGCTTCATTGCTCTATTGCTGCAGTGCTTCATTGCTTCATTGCTTCATTGCTTCATTGCCTCATTCTTCATGGCTTGATTCCTTCCGGCCTCAGCCCTTCCCGTTTCTTCCTCTTTTTCCGTTTCCATCCATTCAATCCTTCCCTCCTTGTCTCTCCTTCCCTCCTCGGCTGCCTCCCTTCTTGCTTCCCTTGATAAGCGCGATTTCCATCCAACCGAGCCGAAAAGGCTTTCTACTTCCAGTCAAACCAATGAGAAAACCACCAGTTTTCAGCGCTTCCTTTTGAGTGGGTTCAGATTGGTGGCCTTTTTGTCCTCGAACCAAGCAGGAACCCCATGGGCCTCCGACTACCACGGCCGGTTTTCCCCCGGAGGCCTCTCCGCCGCCCTGAGCGCGCGCCGCGCGGGTGCGGACGTGCTGCTGCTGGAGCGCTACGGCTGCTTCGGAGGTTTGAAGCCTACGTGGGGAAAAGGGACACCTCGCTCGATTGAGGGCTCCCATGAGGTGGACCAACCACAGCCACAAGACCCTAAGTAGAGGCCAGTCAACCACAGAACCCTTGCAAGTTGCAGTAAAGCATCGGGATGTCCAGCTTGCCTCAATTTGCCAGCTAGACAATCGAGAGCCATATTTTGGTGGCCTTTGTCGTACTGCCGCCTGCACGCGCGGAGTGTGCAGGCACCATCACGACGGTGGGCATGGAGACCCTCGGATGGTACAGATACGACGCTCGGCCATTCCCCAAACCACCCGCCCTCTCAACCCCCACTCCCAACATCCCAACCCCCACCCTCCTAACCACACACCACACCGCCACCCCCTAACCACACTTTGAGGAGGGCACGGAGGACTGCGAGGGCATCGGCCGGGAGATGGAGCGGGTGGCGGAGCGTATGGGGGGCACCACCAAGTGGCCCTACAACGACTCCGACTGCCTCGACGCCGCCGGGCCCTCGGCGGTCCCGCTTCGGCTAGCAGACGGGCGGGCGGAGTCTGAGTTAAACTTGAATTTTTGTTTTGTTTTGGGAAAGGTTGAGACAGAGCCCGGAATTGGCCGGACTTCTTATGGATGTGGTGTGGTGTTCTGTCATGGTTCGATGAAGTTCGTTTGTTGTTTCTGGCTTCTTTCTGATTCTTTCCTTTGCGTTTTTGTCCGCCCGGATTCCTTGAAGATCCTTTGATTAACATTGGCTGCTTCCGGGGTCGCCTCCGTGAAGTTTCTCTTTGGCTCACCTGAGTCTGTTTGGTTCGGCCTTGTTTATTCGTCGGGCACCTGTGCGCCAAACAAATGGTAGATATGGAGGAGCCAGGCCGTCATCAAAAGGCACGGATATTTATGGGCTGTCATGGAAGGCAGAGCTCCCTCTCTCTCTCGCTCTCGCTCTCTCTCTCTCTCTCTCTCTCTCTCTCTCTCTCTCTCTCTCTCTCTCTCTCTCTCTCTCTCTCTCTCTCTCTCTCTCTCTCTCTCTCTCTTTTGTCTCCCGCTCTCCCGCTTTCTTTCTTTCTTTCTTTCTTTCTTTCGTTCTTGATTTCTCTCTCTATCGCTTTCTCTTTCCAATTCTCTTTCTCTTGGTTGGAGCTCAGGCCGTGTGGGGCAAACAGGGCCGGGCGCTGTCCGTGAGGAGAAGTTCAAGCTGGTGGCCGATACGCTCATCAAGGAGCGTTTTTACAGGCCACTGGGGCCCCGGAATCTCAGAAGTTGGCGTGTCTTTTTTTCGAGGGTACCTCCTTTTTTTGGTGGCGAAAGGACCACCACCACCTTGAAAGAGCTTCCCAAGTCGCCGGGCATCTTCGCATTTCGACTCCTTAGGAGTCGGGAGTTCGCCCTCTGCTTCATATCTGGGTGGTTGAGGCAGGCAACTGGATGCCGTCGATCGGGCGCAGAGCCTTCCAGCAGGTCGATTTTGTTGGCAGAGCCGAGCACTCGGGTTTCCCAAAAAGGGGTTTCAAAAGGAAAGAAACAACAAGCAATCCACACGCAATCCACACGCACACACACACACACGTAAACAGACCGGGGGGGCGGGGTTGGAGCCAAGACCAAAATGAGGTTGTACCCCAATCTGGCTTCTGTTTGTTCAGGAGTTCGGGCAACAGATTCCCCATTGGACAGAGAAGCAACATGGAGCAAGGCGCCCCATGTTTTTCGTTTGCCTAGTTCTATTTGGGTGTGCCCATCTTTTTTGGGGGGGCCCTCCAAATTGGCGGTTTTCCTTTTGGTTTCCCTTTAAACCCACCAAACATAGGGTACCCTCGAACATCCCATGTTGACATGTGATAGCAAAAGCCAAAGCAACCATGTTTGGCTTCCATTTGGGTGTGTCTTTAATAAAACACACCCATTGCTTCAAGACCACATCGCCGGAGTCAAATGATTGTGTCTGATTGAGTGTAGGGAATCTGCGTGCGTCCGGGCGTCGGTAAGTGATTCCATGAGCTTGGTCAAAGATCCTGGGTTAAACACGGGCAATGCCCGGCGACAACGGGCTTGAGCCAAATCATGAATCAATTCTTTTCCAGCGGGTTGGTGCTGGCTTCCGTTGTGCCACGGACGGATAAATTCGGATTATGGATCCCCCTGTTTTGAGTTTCCCCCGTCTGAGCCGAGCATTTCGCTTGAACCCTCAAGCTTTGCGTCCTCCCTGAGTTCACAGACTTAGACAGTCTTAGTGGACAATCGACTCCAGTGGGATTCATGCAACTGGTGGTTTCCTTGAGATCCCGACTTGTTCATTGCCAAAAGGCAGACTTTGATTCCCACGTCCTGCACAACTTAGGAAGTGCGGTATGTGTCCAAGTTGGGTAATCTCCCAACATGTTCCCCCCCCCCCCCTCCCCCCCCCCCCTTTTTTTTTCTGGATTCCCTCTTCTTCCAACAGGAAAGGGGTTCCTCGGGGGAAAAAAAAATCGCCACGGCCGGAGCGAGCGACTTTCGCAGGTCCTGGTGAACTCTGAGAACAATATCTACGGGGTCATCACGGAATCCAAAAGCGGGCGCCAAGCCATTCTGGCGTCGCGGGTGGTCGACTGCACAGGACACGGGGGGAAAAAAGCTCCGGTAAGAGCCGTGATGGTAGAGGATAAAACCTCTGCGGATGAAGATTGACTCCCTAAAAGCATCTGTTTGAAAGAGTCCGGCGGGATGTTTGGGATCCCTCCGATTTCGTTGCCAGGTTGATTCATTTGGGCAACAAGGGCAACAAAACCGGCTATAAGTTGGGGGCTCAAACTGGAATCCTCGACGAAGTTTTAGTCTTTCCACCAGGGAGCCCCCGAAAACAGTCGGAAACACAAACCAGCTTCCAGTTTGTTATCGTCTATTTTACCAACAGGGTCCCCTGAAAACAGTCGGAAAACCAGCTTCCAGTTTTGTTCTCTTCCATTTTCGGAGGCAGCGTGCCATGTCGGGGTGCGATGTCAGGAGATGCAGACATCGCCCACCTGGCCGGCTGCGAGTATTCTGTCATGGACAAGAGCAATGGGATGGGAGTGACTACAGTGCAGTGCTCAGAGCTCCCTCCCCTCCCCTCTCCCCTCCCCTCCACTCCCCTCCCCTCTCCCCTCCACTCCCCTCCCCTCTCCCCTCCCCTCCCCCCCCCAAGAAAAAACACCACCGGGCGTGGACAAATGTGGTGGAACCCCTCTTGCTGTGAATTCCCACGAATCTTTCTTTGTCAGGTCGTGATTGCCTCTTTTGAGAACAACAACGATGGGTTGACGCTTTTGCCAGCCTGCCCTGAGTTCTTCAGATGCGGCGCTGATGATCCTTGACACGACAGGACCATGCAAGGTTCATGAGGCAGACACCGAGGGATTTTTCGCAGGGCCTTTGGTCTTCCGCACACCAACTTTGGTGCATTTTGCTTGGATGTTAGGACTAACTTTTTGCCAACTCATGGGTTCTCCATTGAACTACTGAAAGTTAAACGTTTAGCAGTTTAGCAGGGGAGCAGACAGCTTCCAAACGCCAAGGTCTTCAACGCGGTGAACGTGGACGTGGGGAAGTTCAAGGACTACACCGCGAGGAGAAACGACCGACGCGCGTCCTGTTTTTTTTTGGGGGGGAGATGTGGGACGCCGGGTTGATCAACGTTCTAGCCACTCAGTGTTTGTTCTTGCAGTTTGTTTTTCTGCATCTTTGGGATGCCACGATTTGATATCTGTCATGGACCAGCATGACACTTTTTTGGCTGGAGGTTGAAAGTCTGGTCAAGAACATGAGCGGGTCAAAGGTGTCTGGAGCTGAACGGAGAACCCTCCAAAATGGAGGGAGACCCCCTTGACCATCGCCAAGGCTCACTTTGGGTTTTCGCCGTTTCGAGTAGTCAGGGTACAGGGTGTCCCTTTAGCTTCAGTTTGGTTCCAGTTATTTACCCGTCGCATCCATCTGTTTTTTGCCCTGCACGGCCAGACAAGTCCAAAGAGGACACCTACGAACACCCCCTCGTGGCTCCTGAGCCACGAAGCTGACAGGGCAGCCACCTAGTTTTGAATGGCCTGGTTTGTTTTGAAGCTGAGCTTTTGAGTTTTCTTTTTGAAGACAATCCCACAAACCTTTCGGGTCGCTCTTGCTCTCTTTCCCTCTTTCCACGAAGGATCATGGAAGTGGACAGCACTGCTTTCTTACAGGTAGTGTGCTCCAAAACCCTTTGCATGTTCATGGTCGCAAAGAGAGGTAGAACAGGGTTTCCTGAATTTCCCTGTTGGAACCTCCAACAGTTGCCGCCAGTCAATTGCAACTTTTGAAAGGGAAATCCAGTGACCCCTGTGGAACCTTTGGCCGGATTGCTCCGAGCCTCCAAACAATGACCACGCGTGGGGAACATTGCTACAGTTTCCACAGGCCAACTTGTGCCGGGCGGAGCGCTTCCCCCCTTTCTGGCTGGGTCGACCATGAGCCC